TGAACTTGAAAAATTAAATGCCTGAGTTTTTGTAATTTCCCTTGATTTATTTCAAAGATCAAAATTTATTTATAATGAGTTGAAAAGTAATTGTCTCACCTTGGCTCCTGTTCTCTTCGGAACAATTGTGTTTCAGAATTTTGATGAATTTTGCGTTATATCACGATTGGATATTTGCTCTCTTATTATCTCCTATGGATAGTTAACATTATGCTGTATAAAGATTCCAAACATGTAGATTCGACCGATTCTAATGAAACAGGAGCATACATGACTAGCATGTATTTCAAAGATTCGACACAATGCAAGGACAAGCTGAAAACAGAATACATAAACAGACGCTGATGAAACTGATGTTCCAATGATAAATCTGCCGTTTCTCTACTCTAATTTCAGCTGCTGCGGCTGCGGCTGTGGCTGCTGCTGCTGAAGGGATTGGGAGAATGTGATGGGACCTCCGGTTAGTCTTCTAGGAGGAGACATCTCTAGAAGTGGCCTTCCAGTCCCAATGAAAGAGGTTCTTCTTTCATCACCATTTATCAAAAGGAACCGAAGTGTCCAATACAAGACTTTGGGTGCGAAGACCCTGTATAGGAAAAATACGTCATACCAGCTTGGGTATTTTACATATGGATCCCCTCTACACGCCCCAGAAACAATCAACTTTGCAAACTCCTCCACAGGACCACCAGATACATGTACCTTGTACAGTATGCAAGAAAATACTCAAGTTACATTGAAATAATTGAGAAGCTCAGTTGTAATTGTTCGAGGATTTACCAGAGACAACCCAATTTAAACAAGGTCATGAGACTGGAATATACCTCTCTTTCTTCCTTCCATTGCATCTCTGCTCCTTCCTCCACCATGAATTTTCCTCGGGTCATTTCAGTCCCAATCCAACCATGTGTTGCAACGGTTATTCCAACCTCATCCTTCACTTCAAACCTCAGCGTCTCGTAGAAGTTCACCAGTGCTGATTTTGCAGCCTACTCATGAAAACACGAGATGAAAAACCAAAAATCAGTCCTCTGCTTAGTGAATATTGATTATTGAGAGTTGATTGCAACAAGAGGAGTATTTAAGATTTCTTCCAAACTATGGAGTTATTGTAGTTGTTCATTCTAATAATCCAATGTGTTATTGGAAAAGGAAAATTGATCTTCGAAATTGGAATTAAAGCAATAGTGTGGAGTTCATAAAAACTCACAGAATACAAGCTCATCCTTGGCAAAGGCAACCAATTTTCTACAGATGCATTCACTACGATCCGTCCACTGGTTTGCCGGAGATAAGGGAGTGCAACATAGGTTGGATAAACATTACCCCAGAAGTTTATGTCCTGATAATGTACAGCAATTTTAAACGAAGCTAAGCCTTAAAATATAAAAATATTAAGGTGTAAAAAATATTGTTTGACTTGGAAACAAAAAAAGAAATTTTTTCAACAATCTAAGTTGAAAGAACTTTAGAAATAGCTCACACGGCTTCTACTTTTAGACCATACCATTAAAATGGGAAACACACTGGTATCTGTAGCTTCCTCGAAGTAGAAAGTATGTCCCAAACTTGCTGTGTTCACTAAATGATCCACTGCAAGATGCAAAAAGAAAGGAAATGAGAAAACTAAGAACTCATGATGCATGTGCATATGTCTGAGGGACAACTACACTATTGTATTGTGATACCAGTCTGTAGAGACAAGAAAGACGGTACTCAAGTCATTGATACAATTACGTGTATGATTTCATTTATCTGAAAAATGAATACAAGCAGGCAAGTTTTATAAGCTTTGCTAGCTTAAAGCTCCACTTGATTCAACTGGTAAATATAATTCAAACCCTTTTATCTATCAAATCCTTGTTTTCATATAAATCTAAGCTTAAAGCAATGGGATTAAATCTTCTCGTTGTTTAGGAGAAGAATAGCACAACATATTGGAAGCAAAAAGGTGTACTGCTTGAGGCTTACCACGCCCAAAATAGTTGTTTGTCTCGTTGATAAATCTCCTACAATCATCTTCCTTGACAACATCTGCAGCCATTATCAACACATGCCTTGACCCCAGCCTTCTTGCATTCTCACTTATTCCTCTCAGCCTGTGCTCTCTTCGAGCGATTAATACAAGATTAACCCGCCTCTTTGCATACTCATAAGCAATTTGCTGTAGTAGTAAGAATTGGTCATTGTTGAGGTGCTTATGACACAAAAGTACAGGTAAAATTTGCATATGAGTCTATGATGAATGAAGAAAAATACTTTATTTAACCAATTCATTATATGTATCCCAGCATTAGACAAGTCAATAGGGGGAACTTCCCCAAATTTCATCAGCTTAAAATAGAGTTCCACATAAACTAATAAGACTTGGGGTTTTTGTAACCTAATTCTTTAACCGACATGGATTTATCCATTAACATAAACAAGATACTAAATTTCCTACAATAAACATTAAATTTCTATCTAATACTTTATTCCACCCAAACGATGAAATCTTGTGGGCAGATGAAATCTATATAACAATTTCCCCTTTTTCTTTTTTATTTTTCAGAAACATAAATACATCCCGAAATACTGAAGAAATGTCAAAAATCTTGAATCTTGAAAAAAAAACCCCAAAAGTTAGTTAAAGTTACAAATCTCTCTAATTCTTTTTTCCCCAGAAATTTTGTTCCATGTTTTCATCGAATTATTCACTATCTATTTAAATAGATTCCCCAAAATATTTTGCACTCACATAAAACATGAAATAATAATTAATTTACTGGGGAAATAACCTATAATTAGTGTGATAAAATTGCAAGAGTGGATTAATTACCTCCCCAATCCCTGAGGAAGCTCCAGTGATAACGACCACTTTGTTCTCCATATTTTCAGAGGTGAAGACAGTATCGTATATCCATTCACAAGCGTTGATGAATGTCAAGGTAGGCCATGCAAATGCCAGCATCACAAGGCTTGCTGGAGGCACCAGAAAATTAAGCGCAGCGGTTATCAGATCCATTTCTTATGAAAATGAAAGAGATGATGATAATGCAAATAAATAAACAAACAAACAAACTGGTTGAAGATTAGCTACATGCAGAAGAGGGTGGTGAAAACGAAACACGTGTTAGTGTACAGATGACGAATGGAATGGAGGAGTTGATATTTTGGAACTTCTGCATGAGGGATTGAATTGATGCTAACGCTAACATGACACGTTATTTGTCACAAGGGATAGGACCAGCTCCACATTTTTTTTTTTAACATGAAACGGTATGATAGTTCAATTTAAAGCTCAAAGAATTGTCGATATTGATTTTTTAAAACAAGACGGTCTTCATAAATTCCATATTATCCGAGTTCTAATGTGTTATTGAGTTTAATATTTCATCTTGAACAATTGTATTTGATAATCATTTGAAAAAAATTACGGTTGGTGTCGGGGACGGACCCAGCCCGCCATCCTAACCCAGGCGGACGTTGATCAGTCACGCCGATCGGTCAACGTCGACAATCAGCGATCGTAAGAACGAAGTCGTTTTTTAATATTTAATTACATAATATTAAAAATTATTCAATATATATGTAAACACACTAAAATAGAACCGGAAAGCTGTTTCATTCTTTTTAAGTTCCAACAAACCAGAAATACTTAAATTCATTCATGCAAGTTCACTGCTGGTGCTGATAAACAATTAGTAAAAGACTGTTGGAGAGAAAGACAATAAACAACTGTCTTGCACACCATAATCAAATGAGACAACAAGCCATAACCAACAAATAAACTTGTTTTACTGGATGCACATTGAACTTGTATTTTTGAATGTTTTGAGAATGAGTTCCTATGGTTGAATGGTTATAGTTGAATTGGTAAGAATGAGTAGAAATAAGTTTATTGTAGTTATTTTTCCTGTGAGAATGTTTTGATTGTTATTTTTTTACTTTATTTTTGTGATTTTTACCATGCTAGCTATGCTACTGAATGTCTGTAGTTGACCATTTTAGGAGCCTTAAGCCAGATCTGATTTGTATATTTTCAAAAGTCTGTGACACTGTAAAATTTCTATTCACTTCATCTAAAAATTTGAGAAATAGTGGTGGGACTAGATGCACCACTAGAATCGGAAGATATAGATATGGACTTCCTTTAAGTTGAAAACATCGTTCCATAATCTACAATTGCAAAATACCCTAAATTAAAATTCAATCACCATCATCAAGATATCCAAATGAAAATAGCCCAATAAAGTTGTAAGTTATTGAAAACACACAATACAGATTACAGTCAGATACTCAGATTATCCAGTCATTTACCAACACAGCAACACTTTTTAGTTTTAACAAATAAACTCGAAATTANTTTTTATCTAATTCATCTTAGAATGACTACAAGTCTACATTGCACATTACAACACTTTTAAGTTTTAACAAATAACAAGGAAATTTTTTATGAATTATGAGAGCATAATTTCTCCACTTACTTTCTCATAATTTCTCCACTTACTTTCTCTCTTGCACACGTGCATAGACTCAACACATCCAGCATACATATATCTATATATTCTGCTCCACTACTGACTACTCTCTCGGCTCTCCCTCTTATTGTCACTCTATCAGTCTGTCTCTCACTTCTCTTTTCAATCTACTCTCTCATCACTCTTTTTTCAAACACAGATTCTCCACACAATCACACACTTTTATACAACAGGCATACACACACATATATAGAGATGGTGCAGTATGGCGGTGGAGGAGAATTCTAGAATGGACCATGGCTGTGGTTGAAACAATTCCAGTAGCTTCTAGTATACGGCGGTGGTGATTGAAGTCAATTGTTGTTCCTTCTTGATTCTTATGGGCATCCTTTCTTTCTCCAGATTATTCTTACTATGGCGGTGGAGATGGCTTCAAGATTATTCCAATCTTGCTTCAAGTAGTGGGACTAAATAAGACATCTCTAGAACTCTCTTTCAAAAGGTGGTGCTGATTCTTCAGGGAGAAGGAGAAGTGAAGATCCGACCATCGACTGGATAAGGAAGAAGGAGAAGTGAAGAGTGAAGGGAAGGGTTTTTGGAGTAAATTAGTAATGGAATCAACCGGGTAATGCCGAGTAGTTTAAATTTACCTTGGGCATTAGATTGATTAGATACACTGCATTGTGAAATGCATAGGGCCACTATTGATGCGGGACAGATGCAGTGTGAAGCAAGCTTAAACCTGTTTCAACAATGTGTCTGTGTTGTCTCTCAGCGAAACCGTTGTGCTCGGGTGTGTGTGGTGGTGAAGTTAAATGACTAATGCCATGTGAAGAAAGAAAGTGTGACAAGGTTAGGAACTCAACACCATTGTCACTATATAGTCGGTGAATTTTTGTGTGCAAAAAATTTTCTACTAATGATTTGAATTTTATAAAAATATCTTTTACATCAGATTTTCACCGGAGTGTATACAGCCACACATACCGAGTGAAGTGATCAACAAACACCACATAATATTTAAAGCCCTCATGAGATAAAACATGGGAGGTCCACACATCATAGTAAATCAAATCCAAAGGTTTATTACTAGTTAAAGATGAGGAATCAAATGGCAATTTATGACTTTTAACACACTGACATGAGTCACAATTAAATAAACTAGACCTAGGTAGAACAGAGATGGAGTTTGAACGAATAAAATAGTTTGAAATTTTAACTGACAGATGTCCTGGACGACATGCAAAGTATCAAATGTCAAGAGCTGTGCAGGGTAGGCGTGTTTAGGATCAGGCGAAAGAGATTCGGGCCACATGTACGCTCTATCTTTAATTCCTCCTTGTAGAACTGGCTTCCCCGTGTGCAAATCTTTCACAGAAAAATTGGATGGTGAGAATTCAACGGACATATTGTTTTGAGAGAAAAATTTGGAGACATATATAAGATTTTTGCTCATTCTGGGTACACACAAAACGTTATCAAGTCGAAAATTGGAATTTTGTGATTGTAGAAATTTAGTGCCTGTGTTTGTAATGGTTAGACCCGTACTATCACCGATGTGAATATCATCTGGTTTAAGATAGTTGGAATCGAAGGACAAATTGTTGAGATCTATTGTGACGTGTTGAGAGGCACCGGAGTCTAATAGCCAATCGAATGAGCTAGGGGAAGCTTGTGCTGCGACATAGGCGAATGGCGAAAAGGGTCGAAATTTCTGTTGTTGTCGTGAAGGATAAGCACCAGGTGAGTTGTTCTGGATAGGTGTACTTCGCCATTTTTTACCATACTTGCCGAGTGACCCACTTCTTGACATAGATGACTTGTTGGCAGTGTAGTTGGCAGTCGCTGGAGAGGAAAGTTGGTGAGGTGTTTGGTTAGCCTTGATCTGGAACTCGATTGCTTCAAGTTTCTCTTGAAGTTCATCTATTGTGAGAGATGGCTCTCTCGCATTAATGGTAGCAGCTATGTCCTTATAATCTTTGTCCAGACCATTCAGTACATGTACGGTTACCTCATCAGGATCTAGCTCTTTGTCTAGAATAGATAGTGTGTCAACAATTTGTCGAACTTCACGCATGTAGTCAGCTATTGAGGAATTGTCTTTGTGTAGTCGTGACATTTTTCCTTTAAGCCCCGTAATCTTGGCTCGAGATTTTTTGGCAAAGGTTCCTTGGATTTTTAACCATGCCTCGTGTGAGGATTTTGCCGAGGTGATAGTAGAGACATAGCCGGCTTAGCTGAGTTTAACATTGCATCAGGATCAATTGGTCTTGCCGAATCCAATAAGAGAAATCAGGATTTGGTGTGTTAACATTATCCACTTTGATGGTGGCCAGTGGACATACCGTGGTCCCATCAACGTAACAAAATAGATCATAACCAATCAAACAGCTATGAATCTGAGCATACCATGACGAGTAGTCGTGCCCTTAGCCAGGTGCTGTGTTTGCCATTGGTGGTAGGTTTGATGCTGTTTTAGGTGGATTGTGGTGGAGGATCATAGAGTTTTAATCATGATAATAGTTTGAGGATTCACTATTTGTAGAATGGTGATTTGAAATGCTTTAGTCTGTACAGACATTGGTGGAAGCGGTGGTGGGCAGGGGGGATTTATTCGCCTCCGTCGGCATTTGGTTAGAAGAGGTCGTTTGGGAAAGATGAACAGTTTCAATTCACCATGTAGAAATTTATGGGTCTAACTCATCTCACAAAA